CAAGAAAACACAAAAGACAGCGTAGCTTTTAGTCAACGTGATACAATATTGCGACTCGGAACGCACTTGTAACCTTTGAAGAATACTGGCTCATGCGAACCTGAAATTTTCACGAAGAAGAAGAATAGCAGCCAAGCGTCCCACCCTCGTATAAAAGTGTGTCTTTATCTCGTCGGTAGACTAGCCAGTAATATGGAGAATCCACCGCCGGAGTTGTTCTTGTATGTTTACGATGAACTAGCCGAGTCACGAGTCCGTAAGTTCTAACAGCTGGCTTAATTAGAAGTATTTTTATGATCAGAATTTCTGAAAACACTGAGGTCGTATATGTTGATATCAGATGAAATGTTTTTGGCTCTTTTTTGTGCTTTTGCGTATTTAGAAACATTGGCTGAGAGAAAAAGCTAAATTCTTGAGATCCTCTTTTTTGTAGTCACAAATGCTTATTTTGCCGTTATACACTGGCAATGGACATAAAATTTTTGCTGTTGCATGTATTTGCAACTCTTTGTCTCATGGAATTTTAAAAAAAGTGTATTAAACTGAATTACCTTGACTCCACTGCGTTCAGATATTTTTTACTGAGCTATAGACCAGGTGCATCAGACAGACTCGCGTTTTCTTCCAGACACCGAGAAAAATAAAATAATTCACGTTTAATTACCTTAATTACCTCAACGTACTCTATAATACATTGTAAAAAAGTCCAAATTTAGTTTGTCTTGTTCATTTCTACTTACTTTGTCTGGTTTTTTGCAGTGAGCTGCAATATATAAAACAATTTCTAATTTTCCTAACTCCTTCACACGCCGTTGTTAATTGATTGCTTTATACGCGTATTTTCGATGGTCAGTCAACAAAAAAAAATATGCAAAGACCCCGAGGTAGTTTTTAATATCTATAGCTTCCTCAACACAGATCAATTAACTTTGGGTCGGATTTTGCCCTTAAGAGCAAGTTATGTATGACTGTGTGGTCTCGTTTTAAAGCTCTAATTACTTACAAACAGATTCTATCACTCCCCCAATTTTCTCACAGGACTTTTACTCTCTCAGGTCTCCGACGAAAGGATTATGAGACCTTCCTTCTTAAATGGGGCGTAGACGCAAAAAAGGCAGAGGTAAGTTCTGCTGTCACAGATTGGGCATTTCTATTTGATGATTAATATAAAACAGTGCACTTTATTCCAGTTAAACTGTATGAGCCATAAACCTGAATGGACTTCAGTTGCAAGAATCCAATAACCTTACCATCTTAGTTATCAAGTGAACATTTTAAACTGTAAATAGGAAAATTATAAACGCAGAAGTAAGAAAACTCTTCTAAAACGTAAAGTAAACAAAATTCATGTTGAAATACGCAGAGCTTGCCCGATTTGCTAAGCAAACCGTCTATGCTTATTTTGTGGTATGTTATGCCCCGCTGCCATTAGCTCCTCCACTACTAATAAAGTACTAGACAGTAGCATAATTTAGCACTTCTCTCAATTTTTCGTACACTTTAGATACACTTGTAAGTTATTATAAACAGTTTAACGGTTCGTAGTCATTATTATTGTTTTTTATCTCATAAGGAATCTAGATAGCATTCACTCGTTACCTGGCCCATATATTTTGTCTTCTTGATTGGACCCTTTAAATTAATAAAGATACTTTTTACTATTTAGAGAGTATGCGCAGCGGCTGATCGTGATGATGATGGCTACATTACACGAGATATGCTGTGCAAAGGACTAAATTGCTGGCCCAACAAGTACATGTTTAATTGAATTCAAAATTGCAACGTTTAAAACAACAGTTATAAAAGCCTTAAAATCTTAAATTGGTTTCTTTTATTGAAATTTTAGGCCAGAGGTGCTGAAGCATACAAAGGTTATTCGGTGCGATATGCCCATAAGGAAGCGCGAATCGCTTATTTGTCTCATTTGTGATTGTGCTAAAAGGCTGAAAAGCAAAGGGGTATGAAACATTTAAATTTGTTTCAAATGTACTAGGTCAGAAGCAGTTTAAGTACAAGTCGCATGATCGTTTTAATTACCACTGGCCACTCCTTCAAAAGGAACGGAAATAGGTTTACTTTTTAGGACACGTTTCCCACGTTGCCTATTTTATCATAGTTTCTTCAACAAATCCCTATCATCAAAAGCCTATGGAGACTGCCTAGATTTTTGGCTGCTGCAGTATGTTATACTTCCACGAAGTTTCATAATTTACAAAATATCGAGCTTTGTATAATGGAGGCATTGTTGCTTATACGAAAATAAAATAATTCCAGAAATTTATTAATGGTATTTTTTAAGTAATCAGGTGGAAGGAATCCATGGCTGTTTTTATTAAACTCAAATTATACAAGTAAAACTAGATGACAAATACTACGTTGCACCTAGCCTAAATAAACCAAAACCTGAGGAGCTGCTGCCAATTTATTATCTACAAATAAAAACGTAAAAAATAAATAAATAAAATTAGTATTGATTGAAACATCTATCAAGTTATCGATGTCATTGCAAATATTAAGCAACTTCGTCACGTATCACAGGCTAATTAAGATAATATTTCCCCTCAAAAGCGCCATTGAACAGTGAATGTATGGTAACCTAACAGGAAATAACACATAGTTGTCCATGTCAGTAACATTAGCATACATTGACTTACCTCTTCAGGAACTCCCTCAGGAAATCCTAAAACGCATTGAACCTATCTACGGAAAGGGTTGGACTATATACGTTACGGATGGTCGCGTTTGGGCAATGCAGGTACATCAACCCGGATCTAATCTCGTATTTGCCTACAAGGGTAACGTTTATGGTCTTTATCAATGCCCGGTTGGAAAATAATATATCAAATAAAATATATTTTGCGGATTTCGCTTACTTGCTTTTGAGACCTTATTAAGCTATCCTTAAGATGGGATGTTGCGGTGAGCGAAATCTGGGGCTTTATTTTACTATGATGATAGACCGCTGTTTGTCAGCTAAAAAAACAGCTTTCAAACGGTTAGAAGAAAGACCAATTCAAAGCTTTTCATCGACAGCATGTTGTGTGTGACGGAATCCGTCTGCCTGTGCTATTTGGCGAACTAATATTTTGGGAGTAACTCACTGATCATCACTGCCTTTTCTACATTTTATTGGGGAAAATTGAAGTTTTAATTACCTTACTGCAGATATTGCAGCAATAAAGAGAAAATAACTAGAAGACATCACGTGCAAACGGGGCCATAGCGGCCGAAATGGATTAGCATATATTATGGCATATGCAGGATAGGGTCATAAGTTTTAACGTCCACAGGCTGGGCAAGAGCTAAGGGCGTACCAAAAAACAGCACGAGTGTTATAAATACATAGCGTGATTCATGCATTTTGGTTTTTCAATGTGAGACAAAACGCATGGATTTAATTTTACAAATTTATATTTCCTAAATAGTAAGAAAATCTCCCAGCCTTAGCTTCGATCTACTGAAATTTCTGAGGGTATTAAAAGTCAACATTTAGTCCTGGTAATTTAATTTTTATGCTTAACTACGTACTCCAGAAAGAGTTGGTTGCAATATTGAACTAACGACGTTAAGAACAATTTTTTAGACAAAGCTTTACTGATGCAACAGATGCCTTTGTTGTAGCAGCTTTAACGCCGGTGACTTGAAACAATTTTCTTTATCAACGGTAATCGGAAAGCCTTAGTACTGTACGAAACTTTGTCACAACATAATAATATTAGCCCTTTTCCGGTTTTGTCCTACGCTTTTAAATTATACAAAAAATAAACTGGGCATTATCAGTTCCTTCGATGCTCATCTCCCAAGAGTTATAAAACCCTAAGCTCAATATCAGCTGCAGAGTAATTTTTTGTGGTGAATTGTGTTTCCATCCTAATACAAATTACGTTTTTAAAGAACCTCACTGCGCATCGAACAACCCTTACCTTTAAGCCATCTAAATCATCTTTACTTGCGGAATTTAAAATTTTTTGCTTACATCTCAATCACCGCTAATCTGCACTCCGTTTGCTCCCATTTTTTCAATATTTGGTTGCTTACATTAAACTATATGTATTAGGCAATTTCTATACCATGAAGCGTTATATTTAATGGAATATCTTGCAACATCCAAGTTTCAAAGGAGTCAGTTTTTCAGAAAACGAATGAGGGTTTTTCTCGCCCTATTGTATTCGAAGGCCTGTAAACAAATTTAAAACAGATTAGTTTAATTCTTCCAACTTTATGCTAAATTTAGTAATAATTTATAACTAGAAGAAAATCTGGCGAGCACATGATTGGTAATTAATTTCAAAATTAATTTTTAAGTAAGCAATGCTGTGACTGGTCGAGCATTGGAATCATTTGCTTATTTTAAGTTATTATTAAGTTATCGAACTCGATTAGAGGCCAATCTTAAGAGAAATGCACATTAAAATAACAAACGGCCTTATGTGAGGTACGGGACAATCAACAACCAGTGCATTTGCTCAAGAGGTAGCTGACTTCGTATGTCGGCAACGGGTCACGACCTCGATTGATTGAATTCTCATTGAAACCCTAGACTTCAGAAAATTGGCTCTTTTTCCTAATTCCAAACTCAGCACTTAGTCTGGCGGATGCGATGCTAAACGCGTGATTCATCTCCACGGTGTAGGCAGCCACTTGCTATGATTTACGATCCCGTGGCAGGGGAATTTAGGTTGGGGAAAGCATAATTTTAGCATACATTAATTCTGACCTGTGTAATTACAAAAATATGGTTAGGCATGGAATACGCTACAGCAAGCTGTTTTCGTGAGTTTATCGGTCGTTAATACTCATGGCTTTGCCACGCCTAAAAGCCTTAGGAGAGTTTGCAGTTAGAACACTTTGGGCTTGGGTGCCTCTTAAATATCCTTGACGTAATGCATCTGGTTGACTCATCCAAAACTTCACACAAAGATATGCATCGGAATTCCTCCAACTGTCATTCTGCAAATTCAGTCACAGATGTATTCCGGCTCAGGTTATTTTCCAAGTCGATGCGCCAATTCTGAAATCTTATTAGAAACATTCTGACAAATCTTTCCTTCGGTTATTAGCCGTAACTCTCCGTAACAACGATAATAAGTCGACCGCTGTCAGAAGTGGGAATTAGGGATACCATCCAGTCTCACGGAATCCGAATTCATTGCCAAATGCTGGCCGTATTTACTGCTCTTTCATCACGCAAACTAAAGTTCACTGTATAGACTATCATAGGTCACATGGATTGATGCGAAAGTCACTTTAATATTCACATAATTTTCCCCGTCCGGAAAGGTAATGCATGACCAATGGCAGCTATTCGTTAAACGAATGATCCCCCTTAATTTTAAGGTTTTACCCAAACTTATTTCAGTTCAGCTGGCTGCCTAATCTACAGGGTGCCCCACGAAAAACCCTAAATTTATGATAATGTTTATACTGTTATAAAAATAAAAATTAT